ATACTTAATTTTAGATATGTATGAAACAACTGCAATCAATACAAACAGCTCAAGGCTGAGGCTCAGGGTAAACTTCCCCAAGAGGACTATTTTAGACAAAAGCAATTCTCACAAAACAACAATTTGGAGTATTACTCTCAAAATAACCGGAGCTTTTCTGGTGTGTTGACCCTATAGCTTTATTTGCAGGCTGTCTAAACATTCAGGGGGAGTAATTAAGGCAATTATCCCAATAATTCTGGCTGCATGGCATTTAGAATACTGAAAAAAGCGTAGTGGGATATTTCTATTTTTTTCTTTTTTCCTTTCTTCTTGTCTTCTTTTTCTTGCTTTCTTTCTTCTTTTCTTTTTTTAACAATTCCCTCCAATGCCTCCTTTATGAGGAATAGTCACAGCCTTTGGAAACAAGATTGATTGTATCCCTATCTGTCCGCAGTGTTGTAATCCTGTGGCACCTTCTTGCTCAATGCAGAACTGAGCAGAAGTGCCGCCTGGCTGGGCTTCATTTCCAGTCACCAGACCTGGAGCCACTCTTGGGACACTGCTGCAGCCTCAGAGGGCCTGTTCTGTGCACACGGAGTCAGTCTCTCATCATAGGCCCTGGGCTTGGGCAAGGAGGAGAACTAAAGGAATGCCAGGACTTTCTGAACTCCTTAGAATCAAAGGCAGCTCTCCAGAGCAGCCCTGAGTCTGGTTCACCTACAAGGTCTCCAGAAGACCATCATGATCAATGTTTGGGGAGGGGCGCACACAGAGAAACAGCCTTCCTGGCAGCAAGCCTCCTGTGCCTTACAAACTGGTAAAAAGCCATTTCCTCCCCAGAATGGCCTGGATACATATTAAAAGAAATGGATGCCCACGAGCACTGGAAAACTGTAAACCTGTTTCTCATGCAGGGCGCCCTGTCTCAGGCCTGGCTGGAAAGCCTCCACATCGCCTCACCCGATTTCCCCAGACTTGGTCTTTTCTAGGACTGTGTTGTAACTGACCCTCAGCCCAGGCTGTGGGTGCTCAGGCTGGACAGACTCAGTGTCTGCAACCATCCGGCCTCACGTTCTCCAAGCAAGTCCCCGGTCACTGTGGTGACAGGTCCACGCCCTTTCCCTTGACCCACAGACATCTGGGTCAAGAATGTCTGACCTGTTGCCAGAGGTGAGGGTCCTGCTCAGTAAGTTTACTGGTGAACTTCAGAGCCAGAAAGTCTGTCTAGAACCCTCCATTCGACATGCCCATTTGGCTGCTAAGATCCTGTATGTATGATGCACTTTAACTCACATTATGTGGCTCAGAGGTGCGGCCATTAAGGGTAACAGCTCTTTAGCCGATCTGCTTGTAAAGCAAAGAATCATTTTGTAAAGGCTGTGAACACTTGATAATGTGTCTTTTCAGTAAATTCTTGCTGTCATGACATACTTGAAATCACTGTTGAAGAACAAAAGACAGGATGGTGTGGAAAAGTGGGACAGTTCTCCCCCTGTCCATGCATTTACACACCCCGATTTCCCTCAGTTATTTGATTTTTTGTTGTTGAATTAGTTCTGGAGTCTGAAGTCCTGAGAATTACTTCAATTTTCCATTTTGAATATGCACAAGTGACAAGATTCAACATCCTGCCTTCTTTGGGAGTCTTCTTTCTTTTTCCATTCTATTTTTCCCCTTTTAACCCTAGACCTTAAAGCCCAGGCTTGTGGAAAGACACACTGTGACCCACATCGAGATGCTCATTAGATTCCGGGCACTGGCATCTCAGTCCCTGGGAGGATTCGCTGCACCTCTGCCTCCGTCTGAGCACGTGGGCTCCACACTGCCCCAGCCTCAGCGTTCTCCTTCACTCACTTCCCTTTTCAAAGTGCACAAAGCCAGCTGCTTATCTTTCACTCCTTCTATTCAAAACCCACACAACGCATGAACATATGTAAGCAGTTAGAGAGTGTGTTTCAAATCTCTTCTAATTTCAATGCAATGAGGAATTTTTTAAATAGAAAACCCCACAATTTGAATACTCTTTATAAGAACACAGATAAAAATATTGTCTCCTCATTAAAATTTAATTTTATGAGCATTTTCCTTTAAAGTCTCTAAATTGAATGTAGTTCTGCTGGTCAAGTCAACACTCACTGTGTCCATACTCTGTGAAAATAATTATACCAAAGCACCACGGATGCAGAGTGGGGCAGGGGACAGCCTCCGTTCTCAGGAGCTTAGTGTCCAAGGGGAGAGACACAGCACAGAGTAAAGTCCATCCTGGAATTAAGTTGGTATCATAGCAAAAATAAAAGAAGTAATTATGCCAATTTAAAAAAGTAAGATGCCTTTGCAAAGGAAGGAAATGTGTCTTCGGTTGTGAGAACTGAGAAAAAACTTAGTTCAATAGTGAAAAGAAAAGTACTTCAGATTGAGAGATTTCCCTTCATTTCCCCATTGAATATTCCAGTTAATGATCAATTTATCAGAGTAAATGTACCAATGAACTATGGTTTTTGACAACTGGCTTTTAAAATGAATTGCATTTCTTTCATTTGTACATTCAACAAAAAAAGGAAGAAGCTTTTTGCCAAGATTTGGCGTTCTCTCTCTTAAAACCGCTTAAAACTATGAGAATAGTGTCATCTCAGTCAGTCAGGCTGTCCTAACAAACTGGAATGCATCTAAATCTGTTTAAACTACTATGGATTTATTGTGTCTTTTATGTGAGATTTCAATGGAGAGATGTGAGCCCAACCTCAGTACTGACAGATGGCAGCCCCATCTCACTACAGTGACACATGGGTTTCAAGGCAGTGCCCGCCTCTCCGTCCTGTTTGCTCTCAGCCACTTAGTTTCATTCTCCTTAGAGTTTCTCCTCATTCAAACTCCTTAGAGTTTAAGGCTCTATTTAAACTCACCTCTTCGTCATATGCTGATAAATATTAAAATAACAGGAAAAATCTGCCTGACTTATTTAAGCTGATAATGAGAACAAAACATGGGCTCTGTGTCTACCCCTTCCTTTTCTAACTGTGGTTAGACGTTAAGGAGATTTTGAAACCTGTAATTACGAAATAATTGGTATCACTACATTCTCTTTCCAATGAAAAGCCAGAATTTAGTCACAAAGACAGAGGAAAACAAATTGCCTACGTGGTATTGTCATTTCTTTCCTCCATTGTATTAAAAGAATTCATCAAAAGAATCTCCAGCTGCCAAGCTGTGGTCACTGTGCCAAGAATCACAAATGATCATTCCAACCACATCTTTTGGCTGGTGAGTTAATTTATAGAACCACAAATATCACATATTCTCCTATGTCTGTCAGTATTTATTATGAGAGAAAACAGTCTTAATGTTCACATGGATGTCAAAAACTTAGTAAACTTGACTAACAGAAACATGAGCAATGCCGCCCCAGTGTTAGACCAATATGATGAAATGACAGGGGGTTCAAAACTACCTCCTTTATCTCCAAGTATGTGACATCAGTTATACGTTAAAACACTCTTTTTTGTTTCTTTTTATAAAACTTCTAAAGGAAATAGTACCCACTGCACACCAGGTTTTTGAAGCCCATAAAGACAGTACTATTTGTACTTCCTATCACAGGGCTGCAAACTCACACTTCCTTAATATCTTTCTTTATTCTTGTTGTTAATCTTTCTCTTATAAAAATATTTTTAAAAGCATGTGTCATAGCAGACATGTCAGAAACCAAGGAGCTAAGGAGTCTTCCACTTTTATTCCCTTCCTTTAGATATTGGGCTTCTGTTATAGTCACGATCCCAGCAAGAGAACACAACATCCAGGTGAGGTGGGCAGAGTGCACAGCAAGGGCAGCACTGGGGTCAGGAGGCTGAGAGGGCAGTGCTGGGGTCAGGAGGCTGAGATGGGCAGCGCTGGGGTCAGGAGGCTGAGGGGGCAGTGCTGCTGGGGTCAGGAGGCTGAGAGGGGCAGTGTTGGTGTCAGAAGGCTGAGAGGGGCAGCGCTGGGGCCAGGAGGCTGAGAGGGCAGCGCTGGGGTCAGGAGGCTGAGAGGGGCAGTGCTGGGGTCAGGAGTCTGAGAGGGCAGTGCTGCTGGGGTCAGGAAGCTGAGAGGGGCAGTGCTGGGGTCAGGAGGCTGACGGGGTAGCACTGGGGTTAGGAGGCTGAGAGGGGCAGCGCGGGGTCAGGAGGCTGAGGGGGTAGCACTGGGGTCAGGAGGCTGAGAGGGGCAGTGCTGGGGTCAGGAGGCTGAGAGGGGCAGTGCTGGGGTCAGGCGGCTGTGGAGGCAATGCCGGGGTCAGGTGATCTCACTGAGTTTGCCCTAATTGTTCCCTGTGATTTATCTCAGACTCACTGCTGTAAAACCAGGGAACAGATTCAGGGCAAAAATTCCATTTAGATTTTAAAAATGTCATCTAACTGGTTGTATTTTATTGAGACAAGAATTCCTGTTCAACACATCTATGGTGTCCCTTCCTCTCTGCTGCGTTCAGAGCCACCTGACACTCCCTGGAGGCACTGAGCTAAAAGATGAGAAGTCAGGTTCTTTAAAAACACCTTTGATGAACAAAGTTGGACAACCTCCAAAAGGAATGATTCGTGATCTGAAAGAGGCTTTGCATCTGGAAAGGGTGAAGAGTCAAGTGGGTCTCTAGTTGACACTAAGATGAATACACTGCCGTGCCCCTGGGTTATAGGTCTTTGAGATTACCTGTGCTGGACCTCACAGGCACAGCCCCCTCGGGGTCAGGGGTCACTAACACAGCTCTACCTCCAGCCCCTCTTCTGAGAAGCAGAATTTCTACACACTCATCACATTCTGAAAGCCTGGGCATGCAATGGGCAAATTATTTAATATTGCTTTTAATTTGGTTTTATATTGAGTAAAGAAGCTCCAGTATGCCTTTGAAGAGAGTCACCAAGAGAAATATTTTTGAGGCCCACAATGTGTGAAGAGAGGCTAATTATTTATCATAAGAAAGGTTTGGAATCTGAAGTGCATTTATTATTTAGAAACACTGAGCTAGATCTCAGGATGTCGCCTACCTTGCAGGTTGACCCTGGAGACGGGAGGCTGGCTGGCAGCTGGGGACCTCCTGTGGAGACAGAGAAGGACGAGTAAACCTGGGTGACACTTCTCCCACCCTGTGTCCCCCTTCTTTTTATTAAGTCATATATACATAGATCACGAATACATTTATGTCTTTGTGGGATTCAATGTGTTGATTATTTGTACAGATTGGAATGCTTGCATCCTACTAATTAACATAGCTTTCACCTCATTTGTGTTAAGACATTTGTGTTCTATACTTGATAGATTGGACTTGCACCCTTGCAATATGCTCCATAGGTGTGGTCCCACCATTAACCCTCGCTCTGTCAAACCACCTCCTTCCCTTCCCATCCCTCTTCCCTTCCCTCCTTCATTCTGGGCTATAATTGTGATTCATCATTCATATGAAAGTGTGAATGATTATAAACTGGTTTCATAGTCGTACTGAATATATTGGATATTTTTGTCCATTCTTGAGATACTTTACTAAGAAGACTATTTTCCAGCTCCATCTATGTAAACATAAAAGAGTTAAAGTCTTCATCTTTTTTTTTTTTTT